TCTATGGTTTTGTCAACCCAGATGCAATTCTACTGCCTAGTTGGATTACATCAAGGTAACAGCAAAACCAATCACTTTAGACACGTTCGTTTAAAAAATGTTTGGCGTACAACTTACAGGATTGAGCGTATTACACTGGTCTATGGGATTCTTGTAATCGGTCTTCAGTTCATCGAATGCTATAATCTAGAAGAAAACCAACATTGAAACAGTTGTGAGTCTTCAGACCAGGAACAACAATGGATTTTATCCAGGAAAAGCCACATTTTGGTACAGAGCCGGAACATTCAACTGCTGCCATCCTATTCAGGAACATAACTTCTCCTCAGGAAGTTCCAATGTCATGAACCCCAAGGTAAGACACATCTGAAAGAGGTTACAGGAACCAGAAAGCAGAAGATACTGCAGGCATTCACAGACCTCTGCCTCTGCCCACAATCCGCTTTTCTACCTCCCCAAATTTCCAGGGTCCCTTTCTGCAGCTTTTAACCCCCCTCGCTGCGCACAGACCCCAAATGTCGCTGATGACTCTGTGGGTTACCAGGTACCTGACACAGGGTTTAATGAAGAAAAAGCAATAGCAATCACAAAAGCAGCCAAATGTTTTGCTTCATTACTCTCAAAGTAAATGTTGACCCCGCATGTGTCCAAATAGCGCATCAATAAAAACCCCTTCATACACTCGACCTTTTCATGTCATAAAAATCAGACAAAGAGGCAGCATGAGATGCAACACAGGCCACATCTCCAGAACAAGTGTCATACCAAACATGAAAAAAGTCTTCAGACTGACCAACTCATTATCAGTATGAGAATCATTTCTATTCAGTATAAACCCAAATTAGTTTACAGGACAGGGCTTATATTACAAGAGAAGTTTTTGTGAAGGATAACCACGAAGGCCGAAATAACGCCAAGAAATCCTCCTTGCGCCCTCTCCCAGAGCAGCCTCGCAGCTGACTGAAGGCAGGTTCCTGGCTCTCCCTGTCAGGTTCAAGATAGAAAACTCTCAAAAGAATTATAAAAATTTTCTTTTAAATCTCAAAAAATAAGTCTTGATAGAAAGCATGAAAAGAAGGTGACACTTCACTCTTTATTTCTGTTAAATTAGCAGCCAAACTGACTTCTGACTAAAACATTTTCGACTGCTATTTTAAAAGTACAGCACCGTTTAATGCAATGGACGTTATTTTACACCAGCACCTAAAAATCCATTTTACCCACAACCACCGCTAGCTTTCCACCACACCGATGGCGGGAGGGGCTGGATGCGGTACCTCAGCTTCCCCCACAGTTCGGTCAGGGGAAGCGGCCCGGCCCTTCCGTACCGGGGGTGCCCACCCGGAGAGGGGACCCTCAGGCCCCTCACGCCATGGCCCTTCAGGGGTTCCTCTGGGCGGCCTGGCCGCGGTTTCACATTCGGTTTCGTGCGATCTCGGTGCCCGCCGCCCCTGGGCTATCCCTCTTCCCCCACCACAAAACCATCCAAGAGGCGGCCCGGGGTGAGGAGGGATAAACCTGGGTGAGGAGCGGCCGCGACCCGGTGGGAGGGGGGTCGGGCTTTAAACCGCTCCTCCG